AAGTGAAAGCTCCTTGGAAAATGGTGTTGCAAATCTTTGCTTCATGGCTCAAGAGGATAGCTACAATGATGAGGAGGTAAACTCTAACTTCTCTAGTTCAATTAATGAAAGTTCATTTGAGTATTCTTATGATGATTTATGCAAAGTTATTGATTGCTCTATGAATGACATAAAGAAACTAGGAAAAGAGAATATTGCTCTTACTAAAACCATTTCATTGCTTAGGAATGATATTGAATCTCTCTCAAAACAAAATGAGGTTTTAGTTAAAGAGAATGCCTCTTTAAATGGTGAGATTGTTTCTTTAAAGAATGAGGATTTAAAGAAAGGAAATGAAGATTTAAAGAAGGAAAATGAGGTTTTAAAGAGAAAAGCTTGTGATCTTAAGAATGTGATTTCCAAATTTACCTTGAGTAAAGAAAAATTTGATTCTATCTTAAAATCTCAAAGAAGTATTTATGACAAATGGGGCATTGGATTTGATTTTTCTAAAAAGCAAAAGACTTTCAATAATTCTTTTGTAAGAGCAAGTCAATCCTATCATCCTAATGTTACTTGCTATTGTTGTGGTGCAAATGGACACTTTGCTTATGTATGTCCTTTGAAGAGATTGATAGCTCAAGGTAAAGTGACGCAAATTTGGGTTCCAAAAGGAACTTTAAGCACTAACCCCATGGACCCAAGCAAATTTGGGTACCAAAAATCAAAACTTAATTTTGTTTTGTAGGAAAGGTTGATGGCAAAGTCATAAGAAGAGTAAAGTTGATCTTGATAAAGACTTATGCTTCAACAAGAATGTTGGAGTGAAAGTGCAAAGAGAATTTGTTTTTGAATGCTCCACTCATGTGCTCAAATTGGTATCATTTATCCTATTGCATTTATTCATTAAGTATAATCACATTAGCATGACTATTAATTATTGGTTTATGTGTGCTCACTCTTTGATACATATGCTTGTTGAGTATGATTCCATTTGATGTGTCTTTCCTAGTGCTTGATATGATTCTTGAAATTAATGAATTTGATTATTAGAATTTGTGTACCTTGATTGTATTCATGCTATTTGATGATGCATACATTGATATATGACTAAAGTTGCATAATTTAGTAGTTGATGTTCAATTTAAACTTGGTTAAATGAAGAAATATCAAATTAGGTACACTCCCTTCAAAACAGCCCCAAACTTTCTGTTTGTCCCAATCAAGGCCAGTAGAGCCGGCTCAACCATTTTCACAGCTGGCTCCACCCAAAAACCCGAGAGTCTTCTCTCTCTAAAGTTAAGCCAGCTCCAAGTCTAGAGCCGGCTCTCTTGCAGCTTTTTAACTCATTTGGGTTTCTCTCTCCTCGCACAAACCAGCCCAGCCTTGGCATGACTTTTGGTGTTGATTGTCTATGATTTTGATGATTATATGCTCTTATTGAGGGGGAGTTTATTAGTTGATGATTGTATTCATGACTTTGGTTGTCTATGGTGCTATGTTGATGATGATTGATGATTATATTCATTACATATTTTTGATGCTTTAAAGGTTAATAGCATGAATTAAGGGGGAGCATTTTGTGCTTAAATTACTTAATGGTTATCATGCTTAAATGCTTTAAAGATTGATGTGCATGAATTAAGGGGGAGTTTGTTGATTATGTGCTTTTTGATGAATGACAATGTCACGCCCCAGAACCCAAATCCGGGGACATGGCAGACGCCGTGCACTCTGAGACAGGTCCCACAAATGCACAAGGCTCGGAACTTAACCAATTCACATCTGATACCACTAAATCTGTCGATAAAAATCCTTAAAATTTACTCTAATATCATAGAATCTCCAAATACACTTTGGTTTACAAGATCATGATTTATTTCTAAAATCTATGTCAATCTCGAAATGGCTAACCTTCTAACTCGTCACTTCTCGTGGTTTCCCCGCCCTCGGTTTCACTTCCTGAAATGGTGGACAAGGAAAACTATGAGATAAACTCAGTAAGTAAAATATGGATTGCCCTTAATTAAACTTATAGCATGCCAACATGTGCAATCACAAAAAATGGATACAATACGGGAACGAAATAGACGTCTCCTCTATAGTCATGGCTAGTGTATTAAACTTCCCACTGGCAGGCTACACTGGTTGCTGGTGTATAACCCCCACTAGCAGGGTCACTCAAACGAACCGGTTCTATCCATAACATGTCGACATGTGCTAGCGTTTAACCCCCACTAGCAGGATTACAATAACATAACCACATCAGAGACAAAACAGGCTAAAGTTAACAGAAAAACATAATTCACTAATCACTTTCAAATCATCAGGACAATCAATTAAATTTCAAGTAGGCATGCTCAATTAATGAAAAACATAAAACTTTCACTTCAAATCAGTCATACTTGTGTAAAACGGGTTTAGTCCCGCCACCACTTCAAAAACAAATCAAAACATGCTTTTAAAAACAGTACGGGATTACGATAAATTTACTTACCTCACTCGCTTAAAACCAAAGGCTCCATTCACGGTGCTAACTGGCAGAACGATCGGGAATCTAATCGAAACACCTCAGAATTAATACCGGACTATCACAAATTCAAGTTGAAATCATCATGACTAATCCCTAATCACAATATTATTCCTATCAATCTCCACATAACCAGACCTCTCCAAATTTATTCTTATATCACAAACTAATCATTTAAATCCCCGTTAATTGTTAACCCTCGGTGTGTGAACAGTACATATGAACAGTACCCGTGAACAGTGCTCACACCGTGAACAGTACTGCCTCTTCCAAAAATTAGCAAAACCATAGCTAATCTCACGGGATTTTTTTTTCTCCAAAATCACACAACCCAAATCAAGCTAACCTCCACTTAAATTACACAAAAACCCACTTAAAGCTACCAACTCCCGGGATAGAAAAATGGAGAAAATGGCTCGGCAAAACCACACCCACACACAGGATTCTCACACAAAACATCACAGCAGCCAATTCAAGTTAAATCCTACTTAATCAAGCTTAAACACATTTAATTGCTGCTAAAAGCTACGGAATTCCCCCCATTTCTAGCACAATTCGGACACACACAAGGCAGCAATTTGACGGACAAAATTAAGTAATTAAAGGGGTAAAATATGGACTTAGAGAAGCTGTCCATACCGGAATTCAATGAGCAAGGCCGGAGCTGGCGGGTTTGGGGTCGAGGCCGATGGCATTTGCAGAAAATTCAGGGGAAACTCACGGCTACCTCAATCCAAAAACCAAAACACAATTCAAGGTAAACCCAAGCCAAATTAAAGTTGAAAAGATGAATTCAAGGCTGCTTCTTACCAGAAAATAGCCGAAGGATTCAAACCCAACAGAACCCGACGGACAAAGGAGGAAGAAGCAGAGCAGATCCGGGATTTTTGGGTTGAGGGAGAGAATTCTAAGCCCCAAATCTTGTGATTAAGCAAGAAAGAAGGAGAAATTTCATCAAGAT